CGGTTATTATTGCTATTATTATTATTATTATTATTATTATTATTATTATTATTATTATTATTAGTTTATGAAATCTAATGGACAAATAATTGATGAGTGGACTCCAACTTGGCACTATTATTGTTCTTACGCTTCCGGCATAGTGGTGCAGCTCGAAGTGGGCCTCGGAGTGGCCCGGTTTGGGTGGTTTCGGCTTCGTGAAGTTGGGACTCTTGCCGAGATGATTGTCGTACAGCTTGGCCTTGAAAGTCTGGTCTGTGGCTTTGGGGAACATGCACTCCTCCTCGAGGATGGAGAGGATACCCATGGGCTGAGGGTGAGAAGAAGAAAACGAAATGGATGAGAATGCGAGTGCTTGCCAGCATTAATTTAGAAAACGAATTCTTCTCAATTCATCTAAGCGAGCTAACCTTTTCAATAAGTTCAATGCAAGCCTGAAGATCCATGCCAAAGTCGATGAAGGTCCATTGAATGTTCTCTTTCTTGTACTCCTCCTGTTCCAGCACAAACATGTGGTGGTTGAAGAACTGTTGCAGCCTTTCATTTGTGTAATTGATGCAGATCTGCTCGAAGCCGTTTTCCTAAAACAGTGAACCGAATCGAAAAAGCATAAATCTCCGGTTTCGCATGATACCGAAAGTGTAAACAGAAAAAAGGCATCTGCTTACATCAAAGATTTCGAAACCGGCGATATCCAAGACACCGATGAAGAATTGACGCTTCACTTTCGTATCCAACGTCTTGTTTACTCGAGCAACCAACCAGCCGAACATTCGGTTGTAGATTGACTTTGCCAGGGCACTAACCGCGTAGATGACCTAAATTGGGTTGAAAAATAAGCAGATTATGCAGGAAAATATTGCTGATGAGCTGTTTTGCGACATAAGGTGGCTAGAATTTTCGTTTAATCTGATCTACTGATCAACTGATAACCTACTTTCTATAATTGTACCAAACTCACTTGAGCCTGATTCTGACCCTTCGTGACGTAGTCATTGCCGACCTTGACCCTGGGCTTCAGGAAGGCGTTCATCATGTCTTTGGCGTTCACGCCGAGCAGGAAGGCGACTTTCTCTGCCTCGGCCGTTCCGTCGGCTTCGGCTTGCTCCTCTCGAGGGCGCTGCTTGAACTTCATCTCGCCCATGTTGAGGATCGAGGCTGTGCACTTGAAGAGGGAGATTTTCTCTTCATCACTGAAACCCAGGATTTCGAAGGCTTCCTGTTGTCAAGGGGCAAAAGTGAAATAATGCAATTGTTCAAATGATCTTGCCTACAGGCTTCACAACCAACGCTTGTCCAACTTACATCTGTCATCTTCATCTCCTCAGCATCGTCGACGCCGTCGATGGTCAATTCGCCCTGATTGATGAAAGAGTACATCGCAGGGTCGGCAGAAACGAGCAATTTGTCTAAAAAAAACAGGATAAAGAGTCACAATCGGCTTGTCTCAGTAGGGCCCACAAAGGCGACATCTGCTTGAAGCCTTACCGTGATAGCGTTTTCCATAGTCGGATAACAGCTGATAGAATATATGGTAGTTGCGTTCACCCTTCATTTGCGAGTTGACACGTGACTTCTCCAGCAGGTCTATTAAAAAGAAAAAGTAGACGTGAGTGCAATGGAAGAAGTCGACATATGCATGCATACTGAACTGACCAAATAACAATGCAAATAGGATGTAAACTAGCCGAACCTGATGGTCATTCTGCAAACTTACAGTATTCAATATCTGCACCTGCAATCTTCCCACTGGTACCAAAATGGATACGAATGAATTTC